AGCGCTGGCTCTTCGGCTTGAACCGGAGAGGTGCCCTGCATCCCTAGAGTCGAATTCGACTGGCTTTCGAGCAAGGGAGAACTCTACCTTTACCTATATCTGTTAAAGATGATTGTAAATGTTTAGGAATACATGACGTGGAGACATCATGGTTTCTGCTCATTCACAGGATGGAATGAACTCTGCTTAACTACAGTAGGGTGCTTGGAGCTTTGGACTCTCTGAGTATGTGGAAGCCGGGGACGAGAGATAAGATAGTTTAAAACGCCGTTAAAACGTCATCACTTTCTGTCCCCGTTACTGCCAGACGGTCTGCTTTCAGTTTGCCTTTGCTTTAAATGCCTTCTGTTTGTATAACTGAGTTATCAGATTGCTGTCAAGTACATAAGCTGATATGCATTGATTTTCTTCTTTTTAATAAATCCAGTTCTTATCCAGCGGCGGCTTTATGCCATGGCCTCAAGCCACACGTCTTCACCAGCGCCTCAGTCAAAGAGCGGTGACGCGTTCTTCAAGAAGGAAGCGGATCCTGCCAAGCGCTTTCGACCAGTGCAGTCACTGCCAGACGTGTGTCCCAAGGAACCCACAGGTAAGGCCCACAATAGAGCTTGCACAGAGTCTTATCTTTCGAATGGTGGTTTACGTGACTGTTTGCTTGAAGCAGCAAAGCCAGGCCCCATCAAGTCTGGCTTTTCCACTAGGGGTGTGAAGGAATGGGTGGTTATATGGCAGGGCTGTAAAGTTCCTGCCAAATGGGCAGACCATATGGCTTCAATAGGAAATGCAACACAGCAGGGTATCAGCAAAACATTCCAGGGGAAGGCAGGGTTTTTTAGAAATCAATATTTCTATACAGGTGGTCATACCGTTTCTTGTTCTAGTGCGTAGGTTAGCCTCCGGACTTCATTGTTCCACATGTTTCTTACTGCGCCTCTCTAACACCAAGGGATTCGGGACAAGCGAAACATTCCAGGGGAAGGCAGGGTTTTTTAGAAATCAATATTTCTATACAGGTGGTCATACCGTTTCTTGTTCTAGTGCGTAGGTTAGCCTCCGGACTTCATTGTTCCACAGCCCCCCCCCCCCCCCGTTCCTGCAACTTGCACCTTCACATGGTTCTCACTTGAAACAACAGAAACTCAGCTTGCTGTCATTCCTTGTGAGTACCTCTCATAAGCTTGTCGCAGCAGGGAGAAACCTTTGGGACCGGCAGGAAAACGCAACACGGCGACATCCCGGAAAGGCCTGGTTGGGGGGGGAAAAGCCACCTTCTATATGTGATGGACACAGAGTGGCCATTCCACAGGAGGATTTTGATGGAGTTGGGGGCTTTCTGGTGCCGTTTGGTGTAGTGGTGAAGAGCGGCGGACTCTAATCTGGGAGAACCAGGTTTGATTCCTCACTCTTCCACATGCAACCAGCTGGGTGACCTTGGGTTTTCTCGGAGCTGTTCTCTCACGAGCAGTCCTCGAAAGAGCTCTCTTAGCCCCACCTACCTCACAGGGTGTCCGTTGTGAAGAGAGGAAGGGAAGGAGATTGTAAGCCTCTCTGATACTCCGAGTGAAGGGTGGGGTATAAATCCAATCTCCTCTTCCTCCTCCTCCTCTTCTTTCTTCTTCTTCCTCCTCTTCTTCCTTCTTCTCCTTCCTTCTCCTCCTCCTCTTCTTCCTTCTTCTTCCCCTCCTCTTCTTTCTTCTTCTTCTTCCTCCTCTTCTTCCTTCTTCTTCTTCTTCCTTCTTCTCCTACTCTTCTTCCTTCTTCTTCTCCTCCTCTTCTTCCTTCTTCTTCTTCCTTCTTCTCCTCCTCCTCTTCTTCCTTCTTCTTCTTCCTTCTTCTCCTCCTCTTCTTCCTTCTTCTCCTCCTCTTCTTCTTCTTCTTCGGAAATGTTGAACAGGGCAGTATGACCAGCCATGGCCATCAGCTCATTTCATCTTGCACAGCAGCAAGATTCAAGTCCAGCAGCGTCTCAGAGCCCAACCGGAATTTCAGGGAATGAGCTTTCGAGAGTCAATACTCCCTTCCTCTGATGAGCTTTGGGCCTCAAAAGCTCATTCCCGGAAAATCTCGATGGTCTCCAAGGAGCTACTGGACTCGAATCGAGCTCTTCTTCTACTGCAGACCGACAGGGCTAGCCTCTGAACCCAGAACCATGCATAAGATGATCAAATCCATAAGCTATGTTAAAAAAAAAAAACCCACCCCAAAAAAACACTGGATAGGATTATAAAGGTCAAGGTCTCCCTTGCTCGAAAGCCAGTCGAATCCGACTCTAGGGTTGCGGTGCTCATCTCCGTTTCCAAGTTGAAGAGCCAGCGCTGTCCAAAGACGTTTCCGTGGTCATGTGGCCGGCATGACTAAACACCAAGGCGCACGGAACGCTGTTACCTTCCCACCGAAGCGGTCCCTATTTATCTACTTGCAATTTCTTGCTTTCAAACTGCTAGATTGGCAGGAGCTGGAACTAGAGACGGGAGCTCACTCCGCCATGCGGCAACTCGGGTCTCGAAGTGCTGAACTACCGACCTTCCACAGCCTGCAGTTCAGCATCTTAACCACTTGAGCCACCGCAGCTACTAAAAAAACACTGGAGCCTTGATAGGATTGTAAAGGAGTTCAAAAGTTCAGTTCCATAACAAGGCACTGTAACCAGTGCTCCCTCTAAGCTGTTGGGTCTTGTGATCAAAAATCCTACTTTGTGAGCTCCCGGCATTAAAGCTGTGAGTGAGCGATTTGGCTACTGCATGAATTAGTTTGCTCTGGAGCCCTCCTTCCTTAGCCGAGACAAAAATATGTGAGCTAGAGGCTAAAAACTGTGAGCTAGCTCACACTAACTCAGCTTAGAGGGAACATTGTAACTGATGGAATATCAGATAGATTTTTAAAAATAATTTTATTAGTTTATATAAAGAAAGAGGGGGAGGGGAAAGGAAGGAGGAAAAGAAAACCAGAAATATTCAAAATCCCAATTTAGCATTCCGCATGCATATGTTCTTGTTACGATTTCACGACTACTTCATCTGTCGTTCTTATTATTCTTCACTTAATCTTATTTTCTCAGTACTTAAGTTTCAACCAGTCCTGACACACACCCTCCAGGGTCCCATAAATTCTTCCTCCATTTTTCCTTTTAATGTATTTGTCAACTTGTCCATTTCAGCACATTCCATAATCTTCACTGTCAACTCATGTAGCATTGGAATCTTCGGTGTCCTCCATGCCGTTGCAAATAAAATTCTGGCAGCTGTTATAACATGTAAAATAAAGTATCTATGGTTCTTATCTAACTCATCTAAGGAATATCAGCTAGATTAAGGGTTCCCCAGGAAGGCGCCAGTGGTCGCCATGGTGCCCGACAAAACTTTTTCGGGCACCTGCCAAATATTTTCAGGACGTGGGCAGGGCCAAGTGGGGCTTTCGCCCAGCAAGCCTTCTGATTGGCCACGGTGATTTGATTGGCGGCAGCTTCCACCACAGCACAAGGATCTGCACTGTGTGACTGAAGTTAAGCTGTGGCGGCCATTTTGTGTCTGTCTCCACCTCCTGCGGCAGCCATTTTGTGGCAGCCATTTTGTTGCCGTGCCCACCATGCTGTGTCAGAATTCCCAATGCGCCCACAGGCTCAGAAAGGTTGGGGCCCCTGAGCTGGGTATGAAAGTCTACAACACATGAACGGATTGGCTTATCAGAGCGTAGCGTGTCGTACGCTCGGTTTGAAGAATGAGGGTTCTGTGTGTTAGCAGTATAATAAAAATAACAAATGAGCAGTCAAAAGGGCCAATATGAGAGCTCACGCAGGCCCAAGTAAACCTGTCCTAGCCGAATGGATATTGAAGAAGAAGAGATTGGATTTATACCCCACCCTTCACTACCCAAAGGAGTCTCAGAGTGGCTTACAAACTCCTTTTCCTCCCCCTCCCCACAACAGACACCCTTGAGGTAGGTGGGGCTGAGAGAGCTCTGACAGAACCAGCCCCGTAGCTAGGGAATTCTTTGGGAGGGGGCCTCAGGGGGGCCTGCCAGCTAATTAAATGAAAGTACAGTGCAAGTGGTAAGTTTGGGGGCAGCCCAGGAGGGAGGGGGCCCAGAAGAAACACTAGGGGGCCGGACCCCATGTTAGCTACGGGTCAGGACAGAACTATGGCTTGCCCAAAGTCATCCAGCCAGGTGCAAGTGGAAGAGTTGGGGATCAAACCCAGTTCTCCCAGATTTGAGTCCACGCACTTAACCACTACACCAAGAAGAAGAGATTGGATTTCTACCCCGCCCTTCACTACCCAAAGGAGTCTCAGAATGGCTTAAAAACTCCTTTCCCTTCCCCTCCCCGCCCCACAACAGAAACCCTGTGAGGGAGGTGGGGCTGAGAGAGCTCTGACAGAAACTGCTCTTTTTCAAGAACAGCTCTTGTCAGAACTATGGCTTGTCCAAGGTCATCCAGCCAGGTGCAAGTGGAGGAGTGGGGAATCGAACCCGGTTCTCCCAGATTAGAGTCCGTGCACTTAACCACTACACCAAACTGGCTCCTCCATGAGTTTTACCAAAGGAGCTAAAACTTCATGGGCGAAAAATACCTGTCACACAGGTAGACATATGCTAACAGCAGGTATCATGGTCAGACTTCGTAGACCTGTGGTCATTACAAGAAAATGCAGTTTTTAAGAGGAAGAGGAGAAGATTTATGTGGGGAGGTCAAAGAAAAGCTCTTTATCCTAGAAGGTTAACATAAGAAAAGCCCCACTGGATCAGGCCAGTGGTCCATCTAGTCCAGCATCCTGTCTCACGCAGCGGCCAGCCAGTTCCTCTGGGGGACCAACAACAGGGCACAGAGGCCAAGGCCTTCCCCTGGTGTTGCCTCCTGGCTCTGGGATCCAGAGGATTAGTGCCTCTGAATGTGGACGTTCCCCTCAGTCACCATGGCCAGTAGCTACTGACAGACCTACCCTCCACGAATCTATCTAATCCCCCTTTCAAGCTGTTTATTCCTGTGGCCACCACTACATCCTCTGGCAGCGAATTAGAGTAGTATTTCCCTTTGTCCGTTCTGGACCGACTGCCCATCAGCGTCATTGAATGCCCTCGAGTTCTGAAATCCACATCTGAAAGTTCTCTTTCTCACCTTTCTCCACCCGATACATAATTTTATAAACCTCTTATCGTGTCCTTCCCCCCCTCCCTTGGTAGTCTCTCTAAACTGAAAAGTCCCTCCCAGACTCTTCAGTCTTTCCTCGTAGGGAAGGTGCTCCAACTCTAATCATTTTGGTTGCCTTCTTCTGTATTTTTCCCAGCTCTGCAGTGTTCTTTTTGATATACTCTATTCCATTTTTCACTGGACATTAAAAGAAATATAGTAGTAGTAAAATTTATTGTATAGCCAGTGGCCATTACAATATAAATTTAAACAATATACAAATTAGACAACTTACAGCACTGGAATTTGAATTAGATTTAAAATATAATAAGCTCTGAAATCTGCACATTCAGTATTTAAATTAATTAAAATCTTAACTGTAGATACCCATCTCCAGAAACACATACACACTGCCGTTTTACATTGCCGTTTTACAGTTCAGTTTCATTTCATTTTCCTATGTTCTTGGCCCTGATTTTACTAGCCGCGGTGGCTCAAGTGGTTAAGACGCTGAACTGCAGGCTGTGGAAGGTCAGTAGTTCAGCAGTTCGAGACCCAGGTGCCGCAAGACAGGGTGAGCTCCCGTCTCTAGTTCCAGCTCCTGCCAACCTAGCAGTTCGAAAGCAAGACTTTGCAAGTAGATAAATAGGTACCACTTCGGTGGGAAGGGAACAGCGCTCCGTGTGCCTTGGCGTTTAGTCATGCCGGCCACATGACCATGGAAACGTCTTCGGACAGCGCTGGCTCTTCGGCTTTGAAACGGAGATGAGCACCGCAACCCTAAAGTCGGATTCGACTGGCTTTCGAGCAAGGGAACCTTTACCTTTTAAGGCGAAGAGTGTTACCCTATAGGAAACTGTAGGGTCTATGTCTGACAGCAGAAATATTAATTTACCAGTGTTAGAATAAAAGAAATATAGGTAGCCATGGAGAGAGCAAAGAAACAAAAGACTTCTGGATATGTGTGTCAACGGGGGTGTTTTGCATCATACAGGTGACCCAAACAGTCTGTGCAACAGCCCGTCTTTAGTGGCCGATCAACACCGATGGACTATTTATCATTCCAAAGTAAATCTCCCAGCAGCCCTCAACGACCCCCGGTTAGCAAAAAGGGAATCGGACTTCTTCACAAAGACGTGGGGATTGGACTTTGTCGACACAGAAGTTGTGCCTTCGCTCTACCTCCCGCAGATCAACAAGGATCATTTCACAGCGTACCAACTGGACATTGTTCAGGTAAAAGGGGTGGGGGGCAAAAACCTCGACATGTTCTGCACGCTTCTGGATCTCCTAACTAGGGTTCCCACCCTCTGTGTGGGGCCTGGGGATATCACAGGTAGGTTGCAAAGGATGAAGAAAACACCCCCGTGATGTATAATGAAAATATATATATTTTTAGGCTGCACTGTGTTGCAGTGAGTAGTATGTCATCAACAAGTAGTCAAGATGTTTGTATCCACGCTAACGGAGTTTGCATATACTCCCGTTTCACATGACCGCTTTATCTAAGTGTGCTGCGTGAGTAACATTAGTTTACACGTCACTGAAATGAGAGGAAAAATAGTATAATCAAATAATCATCTTATCTTGTCACTAAAGCTGGCATGAAAACTCCATAAAGCCTACCACAAGGTTAAGAATACTTATAAAATACTACTGACTGTAACACAGTTATGATGATTGTTGATGAAATACTACTCACTGCAACACAACAGTCTAAAAGGGACTCTCAAGAGTCTTCTCCAGCACCGTAATTCGAAAGCATCTATTCTTCGGCACTCGGCCTTCCTTACGGTCCAACTCTCACAGCCATACATTACTACTGGGAATACCATTGCTTTGACCATACGGGTTAGGGTTGGCAGGGTGATGCCTCTACTTTTTATTATGCTCTCTAGTTTTGCCATCGCTTTCCTCCCAAGAAGCAGGCGTCTTTTAATTTCATGGCTGCAGTCACTGTCTGCAGTGATCTTGGATCCCAGGAACGTGAAGTCTGTCACTGCTTCCACGACTTCCCCTTCTATTTGCCAAGGAGTGATGGGGCCGGATGCCGCGATCTTCATTTTTTTTTTTTAATGTTGAGTTTCAAGCCAACTTTTGTGCTCTCCTCTTTCACCCTTAGCAAGAGGATCTTTAGAACAGTCACTTGTTAAAACGTACTTTAATGTTTATACCCGTGGCTTCACCCAATGCTGCACGAATAGGACTTCTGTCATATTGCAGCTGTTGTTAATTGCCACAATAATATGTGTGTTTCTGTATTTCATTCCGTCAAAATTGATTTTTGGAAAGGGCATCGTCTCACAATAAGGGAGTGGGCACCGTATGGTAAGAACATGTTTCAAACCCGGAATGTTTCTTCTTTTCACCACCTGCCTCTGTGTTGCAGAGAGAGAAGATTCATGAGAAATGCAAGACTGTTTGTCCTCCTAAAGATACCTTCGACAGGACGCTGTTACATACTCATGGTAGGATGTTCGTTCTCCGTGGGTACGGTTGCCAGCTCCGGGTTGGGAAACACCTGGGGATTGGGGGGGGGGCCTAGG